AGATTTACAATGGCATTTCTAACTTTAACATTTCCCAACACCATTTCCTTTGTTATTATGTCTCCCTAAAAATACATGATTGATAAATTAATAATAAAATTGAAAAATAAATAATCTTTATAAAAAACCAACTATTTCATTTTGTATTTCTTTAATCGTATCATAAGTGATTAAAACTTTTCTTTTATTTCCCATGACTTTAATAACACTATTGTCTCCTTCACGAGGTAAAAAAAATGCTCGTATCAGTTTCTTCTCTAATATAGAATATTAAATTATATAAATAACAATATTTCTAAAGGTCAAATCACAAAAGTTAATAATAATAATTACCTTTTTAATAAATACTGCTCTCTTTCCAGCATTAAGTTTGTGAAATTGTTTAAAAATAGGAATTTTCAACACATAGTTGGTTTCATCCAATACTTCGGCCAATTCAGCTAATGATTTAAATGAACACGCCTATGGTAATGCTTATTTATATATTATTAGTTGATACATTTAATATTGTTTTAAACATCCTTTTTATACATATTTTATTTAGATTACCCAGTAATTTAAGTTAATTTTACAAAAATTACTATGTTCCAAATCTATTTTACTGATATAAATAGTTTTCCATGAATATTTCTTTTATGTTTCAATCGTTAATCGTCAATATTAATTTTAATCGTTTTTCGTTTCTGTTTCTGTTTTGTTATCCGTTTTCAATTGCTTATCGTTTACCGATATGTTCTACGTTATCCGTTTTAATCGTTTATCGTTTACCGATATGTTATCCGTTATCGATTTCAATCGTTTTTTTGAATAGTTTAACGTTATGAAAACGTTTTGATGCCCTGGTATGGGACACTAAGTATCGTTATAAGATTGTCCACATTAAAAAATTTGAAATGTTTATCTCACATATGATCGATTACTAAAATACGAATGCAAGGGAGGGGCGATCACCCCCTCTAAAATACGCCCCTGATCGATGGCACCGGAACAATTTTTGAATTATGGGAGCCGATCACAGCTACAAATACAGAGGAAGAATATGTTATGACGACCAATATTATTCTTGAAATGAATTGAATTATAAATCTATTGTACATTCGTGATAATGGATTTCCTATTCTGTAAGCTATTGTATTTTAGGTGTTACAGTTAAATATTAAATCGTTTTCATTTTCTAAATAAGGGGTAATTGTCTCCGTGTTATCTTATTCTTATTACATACCTCATAAAATATTAGTACAATGTTACTTTAAATTATATTGTAATTTATCTATAAAGGTTTAAAGTATATTGTATACTATATGTAACTCAGATACTTGTATTTTGTATCTGATATCTTCAAAACATAGTAAGTACGTAACTTGTATTATTCGTTTGAATATTAATTTTAATTAAAATGTTATCAAATTTATTTTCATCAAGGCACAGATATAAAGTGGAAAGACAAAATTGACAAAACATTGAGATTAATTGTATTTTGAAGTAATACCACCATATCGAAATATTCGTAACGCTGTACCCGTGCGCGGTCGCATAGCTGGGCAAACGGGCAGTGAACACCAGTGGCGACGGGAAGCTCATTTTCCAATGAAGTACTTACGTGTGTCGAGTACTCAAAGTTTTAGGTTCAAAGTAAATATTAAAATGATCGGGTTCAAACAAAATAATATACGAATAATAAATATAAAAAAATAATATTTTAAGCCATATGTGCAAATAACGTATTAAACTTATCTGTCGCGCAACGCTGCCTAACCACCACATTTTAGACACGAAGCAGCTAACTTCAATAAAACCAGAAACGCGCCGCCACTGGTGGACACTGTAAGTGGCTAATGCAGGGACCTACCGCCCCGTCCACTGATCACGGTTTAAGATATATGCGTGACAGGCCTTCGTTGGGTTTACGGATGAAATATTTGAATTGAATTCATTCAAATCTTGGGTTCACGGAACGGTTTTGACACTTCAATGAACAGTCGACAGTTCGGACACGAGCACAACGTCCGCTGGTAGTGCCGGTGTTACCGGTGTGACCGCAGCGTCGGTCCGACCAATCGGCGGGCTCCACACTACCGGGCGAGCTACACATTTCGTGCGGTTGTGGTGGCAACACCTCCGCGGATAGGTGGGAAAACGTATAACAAGCCAACATTTCGGCCGCCCGGCGATTCGTGTTGTGGACCCGTGTACCTGCATCTCACCGTTCCGCGACTGCCGTCGAGCCGTTGCAGCATTATCCGACGATTTCGAGTCGACGGACGCCGTGCCGACACGTCCTCAAGAGCCGGTCCTCGTCAGGTTTTGTTTCATTTATTATTTTTTTTTTTTTTTTTTTTGCTTCCTCTCATATCCGCGGGACATGGTTCTGAAGTAATATCGATCTCACGACCGACGGAATCGCGTGCGTTTTTCCACTCGTATACGTGTGCGTCCGACTAGTGAGCTCCGTCGTCTGAACGCGTGCCGCCATGCAGTACATCAGGTATACGAGGAACTTGTTCCTCCGAGGAATCGCGGTGATCTACTTGCAAGCGTTCATCGCTCTCTACGTCCAAAATTCCGGTAAGTTGTGCCGGTGTCCTGGACACCTCCGTGGGGTCGCACCAAGTTTTAAAGATAATTGATCCGATGATAATAATTATCTATAAACCTTGGGGTTGCACGACGTGGCATCTCGTCCGTCGTCGCTCACCGTGGGTTCTAACAAATTCGTCAACTTTTTTTCTTGTGTTCGGCATACCAATCCGGTAATCTTTGCCGATCCTCGACGAAATTTGAACCTTCGAAAAAAATTTAATTACCCATCCATTTGTTTCAACTTATCACTTTTTTTCGTACGTTGACAATAAAACTTGGTTTTCAATATTTTTATTTTGTTTTTCTTAATTTTTGTATTTTTATTTCGGTAATTTTGGTTATTAAAAATTTATAATAACAGGAAGAATAGATTTAAAAAATCTCGTAGTGGAGATATTTTATCTGTATTGGTTTCTTTAGTTTCAAAGCTCAATTATGTTTTTCACCTTTTTTTAATACACATTATCTAAACTTGAAAAATCCTGCAGAAATAATGAATATATCTGTAAAATATATCAAAAGAATAAAAGTAAAAAAATTGCTTGATATTGATATTCAATACATGGTATCTACCTATTCAAAAATGCTTATACAATGGTTATTTTCAAATATTGTTACTATTATTTTGAAAAGCAATTTTGATATTAATTTTTATTAAACTTTATACATAACTAAAATATGTTTTGCTCTTTTAAAATTAAAAATATAAAATAAAATTTCAACTTTAAACTTTAGTTTTACCATATACCTTGTCATTACATTACTATATTATATATTTGTTATGATTTTATCATTAATGTGTAAACTTACCATGTAAGTAAATGAATTAGATACTAAATTTCTTATTTTTCTAATAACTTAAAAATAAAGGTAGTTAAAAGTAATGTTATTTCAATTATTAATAAAGTTCACCAAAGTCTACTAAATACCTACTTAATTACCTGTTTCTTATATTTTTTTTATTTATTATTTTAGAGTTTAAATTATAATCTGTTAAATTATAATATTATATACATTTTTATTTTATGGTTATATTTGATTTATAGTGTTATGTATTTTAACATTAAATACAAATTGTTACAGGTATATTTGGAGAAAATGGTATACTACCAGCTAAAAATACATTGATTAATGAAAGTCCTAAGCTATTAGATAAATTTAATTCAAAACCTACGTTGTTATGGATGTCATCAGAAATTGGTTTGAATGCTGAATACATGTTTGATTTAATCTGTCTGTTTGGAATCATTTTTGCATTTTTAGGGTAAGTTTTGCTACTATTAACAATTAACATTTTTTTTACCATAGTAAATAAAATACTGTGTGATAAAATAGTGAATAAAGTATAATTAATGTGTTCAAAATTTAAAAATAAGATTTTTGTTTGTTTTAATTTTATTATACAATGTTTGATGTACAATTTTATGACTGAATAATAAATTAAATTTTTGGCATTTTCCATTATGAATTCATTGTTACGTATTTGTATATATATGCATTTTTAACGAATTATTAAGCATTACAACATTACCATAATTCTATGTATTTATTTATTTTTGATAGCAAAACGAAGGTCCTACCTCTGGTTTAAATTTTATACTCAAACTGTTCTACTTTTTTTTGTACAATTTTTATAGTTTCTTGTATAAAGATGCATTTAAAATACAGTAATTAGTTTTCCATTGGAACAATTTTGCTATATTTTTAAAAAAAAAAAAAATTTTTTTAAACCATTTTAGCAATATTTATAAAAATAAGTATTGAAATAACTATTATTGTTCCTATATAAGTTGTATTTAATCAGTCTAATTTAAAATAATTATGGTTTAACCTATTATGTATTATTTGATTAACCAACAATTTAGAGAGAAAGTTTATTTTTGTGATTTATAGATTAGATACTAATCCAACATCAATATAATGGGCAAATTTGATCCTATTCAATAAAATTTATTAGAATTAACCTAAACTGATAATGTGAAAAGTTAAAGTCAAACTTTAACTTTAATAAAAAAAAAATTATAGTAATTGTGTGTAAAATAAATTATATATATATATATATTTTTTTTTTATTGGTATAGAATCCTTGGCAGCATGGGCCATTGGGTTTACAAATTATTTAGTTTATTATTTTACATTACATTATGTGTTTATTCTGAGTATAAAATTTAAATTTTTGTTTGAAGTTTGGCTGTTTTGATGAATTGGATGATGTTGGCTATTGATTACAGGTGATTGTTGAGTGTTTCGGCTAGTGATTCAGGTATAATGTGGACGGTTCTAATGTTGTTATATATACGGCATTTGGTGAGAATGTGGATGATAGTGACTGCAACACCGCAAGCTGAGCATATCCGAGATTCTTCCTTGGCCATAAGAAAACTATGAGAGATTTGTGTATGTTCGATTCCGAGTCTTGTTATAATAACTTCTAATTTTCTGGGTGTTCCGATCAAGAATATCCAATTGTCAGTATTGTGTTTTATGGTATTAAGTTTGGTGGAGTAGGATGCCCGTTTCTGGTGCTATATTTTTTGACATTTATTTGTTATTAGTTTTTTTATATCGTGGAATGAAATAATTTTTATGAGCAATGATAGTGGAGAGGTGATTGCAGTTTTGGCAGCAAGATTGGCAAGTTCATTTTTTTCTGATAGAATGCCTAGGGATCCAGAAGAGTTTGATTTTGTAACCATTGTTGTTTTGTGGTGTGTAGATTTAAAAATAAATTATAATATTGGTATATATAATAGTATTTTTATAGTACTATTTTGGTATCTTGACTTCATTAATATTTAAAAATTAATAAATTAAGTTTGATAAATCTAGGTAGTACAATAAATTTTTTTTTTTAAATATTTGTGTAAAATAAATGTTGATGTTCAATTTATATACATAATCTTGTTACAGTTAACTATATTATGAACGGAGATCATTTTTATGTATTTTTCAGATTTTTAACACAAAAAGCTTGCAACAAATTTTTATTTTTCACCCTCTGGATCTTGTATTTATCATTGTATCAAGTTGGTCAAATATTCTTGTCTGATTTAGCGTGAGTTACTAATAAATTATTTTGTTTTTAAATAACTTCATTTTTAATGCAAATACATGTATTTTATTTTTTAGTGATGAGCTTTTATTAGAAGTGGGATTACTATGTATACTGGTTGCTCCATTGCCTTTTCAAAAACCAAAAGTTCCCCTAAAGAAACGTAATTTACGCCTGCAAACTGCACTTGCATCGCTTCCTCATGATTCAATTGCTTTTTGGCTCGTAAGATGGTTGCTATTCAGGGTAGCATTTTCTGCAGGTGTTTCTAAGATGAATTCAGGGGCACAGAGCTGGTATGATTTAACTGGTATGTAATCTATTTTATATAATACTTAAATACTACTCGCTCAATAATCCCTATTTCTTGAAATCTACTAAACGTACAAGCTTGAAATTTAGAATAATGGTTCACCTAATATTGTAAATGTGCATTAAGAAAGGATTTTAAAAAATGTTTTTTAAGTGGGTTAATTAAGACTAATCCATCTTCAATACAGATTGTGCATCACAGCGGCCTGCAGGTTTCCAGCTATTTATGACGCATCATTTTTGTCTGTCAATTGTTTGATACCGATATATAAATACAAATTTTTCCAATAAGTTAATCAATAAAAATTATCTTGCGCGTTGCATGTACACCAACAGTATATATTACCGAGTACTCGTATTAGCAATTATCTTATACAGGCTGTGGTACAAAAGAAACAGTTTTTCTACCAATAATACTTTTGATCCCATCTTACTACCACTTTCAATTCAAATAGTTACAGTTTCCCGTAAAGGTCATTTTTCCGTGACTATGAACAAACCATAAGACTAGTCTTTAAAAGTGGCAGGAGTGGATTTAAGAAATGATTGTTTTTCCATGGTTAACTATACGTTGCCTGTTCCATGTTTAAGCTCTTCTTATAGTCTGGTAATACTGCTGGCTGAAGGAAGAACCAAAAATATTTTATAAGGAGCTATTATAAATAAAACCAAAGATTTGACAAGCTTAAAACTATTTTACTCTCATTAATGTTACCTACAATATTTTAAAATAATACTGTATATATGAAAAAAAAAAACAAATATACAAGAATGAAGTGAAGATGGTATTCATCTAGTATTTTTGAATCTTGATTTAAAATGAGACTTATTACTAATTGAAAACTAGTAAACTATTAAAAGTTTGATACTGTACAATTAATTTCATAAATTGTAATTTTATAAAATCAATATCTTATTTGATGTAGAAGTTTTCAAAAATGTTGATCAATAAATTTCATACAAAGTTGAATATATTTCTTTATTTGTTACATACTTTTTTCTGTTAAAATTTTGGGATACTTAAGGTACTGAAAGTATCATTTAAATTATAATATCTCATGAAATAGGTTTTCTTAATTTTTTAAATAAAGATGAACATTATTTTTACATTTAAGGAATTTATTTATATTATGGTTAAAGTTTTCGTTGATTATATTTATTTAATATTTTAATATATTGATTTTTTTTTTTAGCTTTGTCAAAATATTTTGAAACTATGCCACTGCCAAATTTTATTTCATGGTATTCACACTATTTGCCGGCTTGGTTTTTAAAAACTTTTACTGTACTTGCAGAAATTAATGATTTATTTGTACCATTGATGTTTTTGGTACCTATTAGATCCATTCAAAAATTGGCATATTATATTCAGGTAATGTTTTATTTTGATTAATATAGAATTATATAAAAAAAAAAAACATATAATAATGGCAGTCAAAATTCTTGATCAATCTCATTATTCTGCCTATAAAGCTATATTTATTTGTAAAACTATATGATAACATAAATTAGCTATAGTTTTTTACATAGTATACTGCAACAATAATATTTGGCTCTTTTTAGGTATTCATGCAACTTGGTATTTTAGCATCGGGAAATTATAGTTACTTTAATCTTTTGTACCTAGTTCTTTGCTTATCATTGTTAGATGACCATACGTTTTATAGAGGTAAATATTGTAGTTTTATTCATTTAATGTTATATTTGTAATACCTAAATATGATATATTTCTTTGTTTTATTTTAATTTTCTAGAATTAGCTCTTGCTAGAAGTCGACAGTGGTGTTCTACTGTATTTACAAGACTTCTGACTATTAATGTGATAACGTTACTCTTGGCTATTTTTCCAATGTTATATAATTTCCATATAACCCCAGAAAATACACCGGATTTTAAAATAGGTAAACTTAATATCTAAATTTATTAAATAATGGTTTTTTTTTATTGAAGACAAATTAATTGATTTTTTTTTTTTTTTTTTCAGCATTTACTCCAAAGTTATTCAATATTTATCTCTCAATATATTTGCCATATATTTCTTATTTTGCATTAGGGTCATTTATCTATGAATGTTTAACATCTCTTTATTCATCTCTACCATTAAAAAATAAAACTAATGGTTCTATTTCAGCATTTATAACATCAGCATTTTATGTTTCTGTATGTTTGGGCATATTTACTTTGGGTTCAGTTAATTTATCAGGTCTTCATCCAAGTGTTAACCAAACTATCCCACGTGATTTAAAATTATTCTACAATAAATTAGCTCCTTACAAAATAAGTAACTCATACGTTCTACCAAATAAATTATTCAATTTTGAAAATCGTAAAGAAATTATAATTCAAGGAGCTAGCGATATAAAGGGTCCTTGGTATGAATATCAATTTTTATACAAGCCTGGGAATGTGAATGTTACACCACCAATTATCGGTTTGTTTTTTTGTAATATATATGTATATAAGTATATTATCTTAACTACTATTTTTATCTTGAATTATTTTTAGTTCCATACAAACCATTACTTGATCGGCAATTGTTTTTTGCTGCTCACTCACTTCCAGCACAAAATCCATGGCTTTTGAG